GCAGAGCAGAGCAGAGCAGAGCAGAGCAGAGCAGAGCAGAGCGGAGCGGAGCGGAGCGGAGCGGATCGGAGCGGAGCGGAGCGGAGAGGAGAGGAGAGGAGAGGAGAGGAGAGGAGAGGAGAGGCGAGGAGAGAGGAGAGGAGAGGGGAAAGACAGGAGAGAGAGGAGAGCGGTAGGCTAGCAGACGCACCGCCGACATCAAACCGAACTTTTTGCTCAGGACTTCCGGAGGTGGCATGAGGTTGCGATGCACTCTGTGTCTGGGATCGAGTTTATTGGGAGGGGGCGAGTTGCAAGGCCAACGTTGAGCCTGCGCCTCGTACACGGTGTAAGTGCTTTCCTGCCGGCTCCACACAATTGCTCGGGCCTACCACGCAGAAGTCCTTCCAAAAATGAGAATGCGAGGTCAGTTGGGAGGTTGACAGGTAACAGTCGGTCAAGCTGCTACTTCTGACATCTGCAAAAGTTGAGAAACGCTCTTCCCCATGCCGCAAAGCGGTTCCAAAGCCTGACCTGACGAAGCTCCGAATGCAAAGCCTCAAGTCCGACCTGACAGTAAGCGAGGCACCTGTTTCGCTGTGTTCACGCCGATCTCGTTACTCGGTATGAGCATCAGCTGGGAGGAGCCCGCATAGCCCTCATTCCTGCGCCATTGAAAGGAAAAGGGACATTGACGGCTTGCAAGCCGGCGAGCCGAATAAAAGCACTCTAGCAAGCACGAAGAACCTGTGGCTACTTGGGCTGACGGTACCTGACAACATCACGCGCTCTACTCCTGACGATTCTTTCCAGGAGCTGGCTTAGGCGATTCAGATTCCACCCATGCTAGAGTCTGCTAGAGATAAGAAGTCGCACGCAGTTTGTTGGGTCGAGCCAGGACACAGCTTTCACAGAACATAGCTGCCAATACGGCGCAGAATATGCTTCAGCACTGTGGCCATACGTCGGCTGCCCATTATACATGCTATAGATTTGCGCTGCACCGCTGCACCCACGCAGTTACGCGCATCGATGGGCTAGTACAGGTTCTTGGGTGTTATACTACCACAGGTAGGGCGCAGAGGTTTTGTACTGCTAGGGCTAGGAGTCGAAGTACACATCTCTAATCGTTTGCATCGATCTAGCTTATAGGCAAGCGAGCTTCTAAAGTCTAGGGACAAGAACTTCAGATTTTCGAGTTCTGCCAGGCCCTCCCAGAGTCTTTGAATGGGCTCGTCGCCGCGAGGCAGCGGAAGCAAATTCCAGGAAGGCCTCCGAGGTGCTGGGCTTTCCATGTGACGCTCCAAAGATCTGCTAGAGGTGTAAGAGGAAGAAGGCGGATTGTCGTCATATAGTGTATATATATATTATATATATATATTATATATATATATATGCTTCTCAGTCTCATTCCGAGCGTGCATTGATGAGCTGGGCTCGGACGAATCAAGGCAGAGCTCAGTGGACTTGATACATACTCCTAGGCCCGACAAAGACAGTCAGTATGCTCCCATTTGGCAGTTAGTTACATTTAGTTACCACATCTCTGCGCACAAGACCATCTGCTTCAGAAGAACGTCTGGTTGTCATCCCTCAGACACACCGCCCATCACAGCCCTAGGGTATTTCGAATTACCAGCACGCTTCATGAAACACCAGCGCTGCGACTACGAAGGCGTGGCACGGATTACAGGCGGCACTCGAACTAGCGAAGGCATTGCTGGCCACGCCAGCAGGGAGGAGTTTCACGGGAATTTTGAAAGCGCTTACATTGAAGTCTTGCAAGTACTAGTGTTGCGAGCTGTTGCTTGCGTCGGTCTATGTTATAGCTGCCCATTCACCACATGAAGAGGGACATTGTTCATGCCTTGCTGCCTTGACGCAGAGTTGACATGTGCACACCTTTTTCTCTTCACAGGACCACTCTCGCAGCAGTCTGACTTGGCTCAAGGACTGCCGGAGGTCATCAGGCAGCGGAGCTCGGGCGTATCCTTCATTGCGGCGCTGACTTGCACGATGTGTGAGCTGTTTGAGGGTTATCCTATATATACTTTCTCCCAGAAACAGCCAGCACTAGAATGCTTTAGAAGGGTCCTTACATCAGATTAGCTTTATACATGGGCCCAAGGGATGTAATCAACCCATACAGGTCTGGCAGCACAGGTTTGGGAGGCTCCTTGAAGCAGGTCATACAGCTCTAGAAGGCTCATGGAAAAAGGCGATACAGCTCTAGAAGGGTCTTGCCAGCAGGGAAGACAGGTTTGGAAGGGTCCTTTAGTAGGCAATACACCTCTAGACGAGACAGGGTCTTGCAGCCAAGACGGGCCAGGGCCTTGCTGGTGCATGTTTGCCTTTCGCGAGAAACATCTTACACTTCCGAAACACACACATTCCAAACAGTGTTTCTTCGCGCTGTCGCGAGTATTGTGAGAAATGCATAATTAGAGGATGTTCACTAGCAGCGGGATTTTGCATCTTTACTTGGCATGTGTTTCGCAGTGTGACTCTAGATTCGTTTCGACCTGCACCTTTGAACTACGGAGACTCGTAAGCTTTGCATGTATAGCCTGTACAGACAAGACCAGCGACAAAACCAACCCAAACAACATCCAAGTCAACTTTATTAAGCAGTTCCCCATGGCAACTCTTCCGCGCCGCTTTTGTGTACCTTTCGCACACGAGGGTTTTGCATGATTTTATACGTTCGATTAGGGTTTGCACAAACTTACAGACAACGGTTTTAGCACAAGCCACACTGTCACATGTGTGCTGTCTCGACACAGAAAGTGCTCTGTGTGGTTGCTGCAACTCCCAAATCTGAAACTGGCAGCAGCCACTTCGGTCGCTCACCCGACCGCGCATCGCATCGTAGCTAGATGTGCCAGTTCCGCAGCCGCAGACTGCGTTCACTGCAAAAGCAGTGAACTGCCAAACATAACCACATGTAATCACCATCAAACCCACTTACTCGATGCCCGCAACCCTCTGCAACTGCTCGGCGACCTTGTTTGAGTGCGATTCAAGTCAAGTGGCGCGGCTGGCCTCGCATGTCGTGGAAGCCAAGACCTGTCGCGAAGCACAGAGCAGCCAAGACGTGAAAAATGCACACACCATCGCAGTCCATCAGCCTGAGCGGTGCAAGCAGTTCCGCTGGCAGAAGTCGGCATCCGCCACGAACGACCACTGGCTGGAGTAGAGTGCATCCTGAATTCGTGCGCCAGATCGGGCCTCACTAGCTTAGAAAAGTCTGCGAGCTGCAGCAGATCAGCTCACATGGTTTTGTTAGGCGACTTCGAGCTACAAGTAGTGGAGCGCACAAATACCATGCACGACCCACTGCCTTCGGGCACACGCAAAACCCGACGAGAGACTCTGTAAATTGTTATGTTTTCATGTTCACGCTCCGTGAACGCGGTTGTTATAGAGTGATACATAGAGGGTATGAGGATTCAGCTGCGAGAGAAGGGCAAAAAGAAAGGACAGAATCAACAAGATAAGCGCGTGCAGCGAAGATGCACGGACGACGGGATGGCCAACATGTGCGAGCTGACCTTAGTTGGCAGTTTTCTTTGACAAAGCTGGCCTGCAATGCCGTGCTAGCGAACTAGGCAGTTTCCGACGCTTCCCTCCTCCGTTTAGCTATTGGTGCTAGCTTTTTGCAGCAGCCCAGGCATGAGGCCTGGAGTGGTAATACTGCAACTTCCCATGCTTCCCCGATGAGAGGTTTTGGTTACACTTGAGCAACTTCTAAGTGTCATGCCTCGGTGTCACCTGCTGCCGGTGAAGCACCTACTGGGCTCTGTGTACTGGTGCTGTCTCATGCCCTGAAGGGTGGGCCCCAACTGAAAAAGCAAGCTGGTTTTGGACGACCAGGAGTGGTTGAGCTGGACTGTGCCACGCAGCAACTTTGACGGCCAGTTCTGTGCACAACCGCTTTCCAAGCAAAGCCGCCTTTTCATACCATGCTTTTCTGTAATTTCGTGCTCTGCAGCTGTCTAGATATGCGAGGATGGAGGCCTCGTTTTACCGGGGCCTTGGATTCAGTCCAAGCATCTTCTGAGTTGGTGACGGCGACCCGTCGATATGCACAGGCTGAGGCGGCTGACGGCCCTGACCTCTCTCGCTACGGAACTTCGTGGGCTTCAGTTTGGGATCCCACTGCAACCAGTTTACATGTTGTTCTGCATTCCATCCGAATCCCCTTCCAGCTTGCAGAACTGATGCAGCCTGTCCCGTCGTCGTTTAAGCGTCTGCTACCCTGGTTGCGCAACCAGCTACGCAGAAGCTCGGGCAGGATGATCTTTAACTGGCGCGTTTGCAACACCCGTCTTGAGCACATGAGGTCCTCTGCACGCCAGAAGGCCTGCAGCACACCGTGTACGCCGCCTTCAAGTGAAGCGAAGCTTGGCCGGCCACGCCCGCCCGCTGCGGAGGGCCTCGCCTGCTATGGCAGGCTTGGAACGCATGTAAACGATCACGTACTTTGCGATTCCGGCCATGTACCAGGAATAGCATATCGTGGGAGGATGTCGGCTCCCACGCGGCAGGTGTCACAACCCAAGGCGAAGCATTTCATCATCGCCCTATCACGAGCTGGAGGCTTCGGAGAGGGGCCAAGCATTCCGAAGTTTAGCTGCTTAGCTTAGAGGGACTTAGTTAGTTTGTGCGGTCAAGCTGTCGGGCATAGGGAAGAGCGGTGGGGCAGCACACTCTTAACCTGGGTTTTAGGATTGGCAGCTTGCAGCCCGCCCCGTAAAATTCCAAGTTTAAGGGCGGTGAAAACCCAAATCTGGCGGGAGCCTCACCCTGACGGCGCCAGGACACAGAGGCAGTGAGGACACGGCGCCCTGTCACTGTGCTCTCGCAAAACCAAACAACAATCTAAGGACAGGACTGAAGATGCCGAGGTGGGCTTGATTTAAATTTAAAGAGCTTTGCGGCCACATGTGGAGTCTCGACGTGGGCTGGTCGTCAGGTCAGTCTTTGGCTATTCAGAACACGTCAGCAAAGCGCTCCACCTTTAGAGACGAAGCCGTGGCAAAGCCTCAGCTCTTTGCGATAAGAGGCTTTGCACAAGAAGCCTGGCAACAACAGTCACGTCGACCAGAAGAGAAAGCCGAGGTGCACTACGTAGCTCCGTGATATCTGCCCGGCTGCCAGCTGGAAGTGGAGATCGTAATAGGACTCATGCCTTGAGCATCAGCTGCGCAGAAAAAGTTGAGGCATCTTGGTATGACAAACTGCTTACTTACCTCTCCAAACCCGAAACAAGCCTCCCGAGCCTTGAGAATCTGCAGCGAGAAAAACATACAAGAAAACCATACATCAATTACAACCCATTTCAGCCTTGGTGCGTTTTTGCTGCCAGAATCCTTGACAGCCAGTGCACGGTTCTCCAGGGCATGCTAGGGCTAGGGAAGCAATCTGTCATCATAGAGGAACAAACCCTTCGAAAAGAAGAGGCTGAGCGTACAGGAGCGAACCGATCGAAATGGACTGCCGGAGGTGAGGGCAACGTTCTCGAGTGAATAGAGTTTGAGAAAAACGCAACACTCGACACTGCTTGAAGAAAACAACAGTGTCACGTCGTCACGAGGAGCAAGCAGCTATCGAAACTGAGAAAGAGGAGAAAACAACTTGGTGCTAGACAGGTTGGGAAAGATGACCTAACTCGAGAGTGACTTTAACGCAGGGAACAACTGGATAAGTTGAGAAAATGGAGCGAACCGGCTGCAACGAACCAGGGGCGAATGCAAAGGATCGCACTGTTCTAAAGCAATCAGAACATGCGAGAACGAGGAGAGAGTTGAGATCGGGACGCAAAGGCTCCGAAGGGTCTGGAGTGACAAGCTAACCGCCTCAAACCGACTTAAAGTCGAGATGGAGGAGCTCACTGCTGAAGGGACTGGAGAAGATGAGATATGAGATGGAGGAGCGTTCCACTCGAGAAGGGCGGACGGGATGTCGAAGCTGAGGTCGGGGGGCAGGCCGACAGGAACGGTTTAAATTCTGGCATGCCGCTTCAAAAGCACCGTTAAGCTCGAATGGAGGCTAGAGGTGCGAACTATTGACAAGGAATCTTGGAGAAGTTTTCGAAAGAGGAGTGCACCGCTCGAAATGGACTAGAGACTAGAGAATCTGAAAGAGGAGCGACCCGTTCGAACTTGGTACACTTCTCGAGTTGTGCGTTCGAAGGCGACAAGAAAATCTGAGAAAGTGGAGCGAAAAGTGTGGAAGAGACAATAGAGAATCCGAGAAAAAGGAGCGAACCCTTCGGAAGGTTAGAGAATCTGAGAAAGAGGAGCGAACGGTTCAAAAGGGACTAGAGAAAGTGGGTATAAAGGAGAGCAAACCGCTCGAAAAGAGCTACAGGGTCGGGAGAATCCGCGAAGGAAGAGCCAACAGCTCGACAGGGACAAGCGAATCTGATATACAGTAGCGCACCGAGAATCTGGCAAAATGGAGCAAACCACAGGAAAAGGACTAAATAAATAAAGAGAATCTGGTCACCAGGAGCGAACTGCTCGTCTGGAACTATTCGTATCTGAGGGAAAGGGACTAACTAACAAGTCTGAGAAAGCTGAGCGAAACGCTCTAAACCAATTAGGAGGAACCAGAAACTGGAGCGAACGGCTCGAAAGCGATTAGAGAATGTACGAAAGAAAAAGGAACCCCTCGAAACTGAGCAGAGAATCTAAACAAAAAGAGCGAACCGCTCGAAAGGTACCGCAGACTCCAAGAAAGAACAGAAAACGAGCGAACCACTCCAGCTAGAGAATCTGAACAACAGGTGTGAACAGCTCAAAAGGGACTAGGAATCTTAACCGGAGGAGCGAACCGTTCGAAAGAGCGAAAAAACTCGAAAGGGACAAGACTAGATAATCTGAACAAGAGAAGCGAACTCTTCGAGTTCGGGATCAGAGAATCTGAGGAAAAGGAACGAACCGTTCACAAGGGACTCGAGAATCGGAAAAAGACGAGCGACCCGCTCGAATGGGATAGAGAACCTGAGAAAGAGGAGCGAACCACTCGAGAGGGACAAGAGAATCTGAAAAGGAGGAGCGAACCGTCCGAAAAGGACTAGAGAATCTGAGAAAGAGGAGCGAACCTTTCGAAAGGGACTAGAAAATCTGAGAAAGCGAACCACCCGGATAGGACTTGCGAATCCAAACGTGGAGCGAACCGTTCGAAACCGACTGAGAAAGAGGAGCGAACCGTTTGAAATGGACCAAAGAATTGAGAAAGAGGAGCACACCGTTCGACAGGGATTAGAGAATCTGAGAAAGAGGAGGAGGAGTGACTCGTTCGAACGTGACTCGAGAATCGGAACTAGAGAACGAGCTGACTATCGAGTCTGAGAAAGAGGAGCAAACCGCTCGAAAGGGATGGTGGAATCTGAGAAACAGGAGCGAACCGCCCGAAAATGACCAGACTTATAAGACTTTCATTGCATCTTGCAACCAGGAGTCAGTCCCGAGCTCGGCACATCGAGGCGATGCAAGAATCCATAGCGGCACCTGTGTGCGGCTAGGAAACGGAGCAACAGTCCTCCCTTGCGGCTACTCAAAGGGGCCGACATAACTTGAAGCTACTCGGGTACGGGAACGCTGGATTGCATGGTCTACGAATGGCCCAATATCGCGGGTCAAGCAGTGCACTTCTCGTATAGGTGCCGACTCCTAACTAGATACCTACTATACCTCAGCGTGCTCCGACCCATCACCAGCCACAGAAACGCAACACTGCTGGGGTTGTAGTGGAAACCCAAACTGTGTCCCACCGCCGCCATTGGCCCAAATGTACATCCGAAGCCACAAACAAAAGGTTTGGCTGCTTACAGTAAAACCGCGGGTCGAATGAGGCTGCTCTTCTGATGCTATCGATAGAAGCTTCCTGGAGCAAGGTCGTTACACGGAACAGATCTCAGGCACGTGCAATTATTGCTGAAGCCGTGCTGAGGGTGCCTGAGGTCGTTCGCAATTCTGCAACCAAATCGGCTCCGCACCTTGGACAGCGTAGTCTTCAAGCAATGTGTGTCGGCTCTCTTCTGCCACTCTGCCAGTCTCTACATCTAGAATCCCACTGCGGCTGGAGCAGACCGCTCCTGAACCCGTTTGATCCCCTTGTGATCCTGGACCCAACCGCCACATGACTCGCCAAGCTCAGGTTCTTGAAGGTTTCGAAAGTTTGACGTATAGCAAACGCCTGAAACGACCAAACATTAAAAGAGCCCAAAGCTCTCCCAGAGCCTGGCTAAACATGTGGCACAAAAACGGAGCAGGGCAGCAGCAAACACCGGGACGATGCTCAAAAGGATTGATTGCAAAACTTCATAAGAACAACGGCTGTGTTCCAGCGACGATATGAACGATGTGCTATGATATCCCAGTGCTTCCATACACTGCTTTCAATGTATTACACTTGTCTTGCTCTTTCGCATGCTTTCCAGGTTGCGAAGTCTGACAATTGATAGTCAGCATTGTCATCGTAGACCTCCCAGCCTCCACTGCCATGCCGCATGGCAACGTATCATTTTGGCAGTCAACCCGCTTACCAGGACTCCCATCGCCTGGAGGCTTGAGGATGCACGCTTCCTGGGGCAGATCCAGCACGACCTGTTGTTGAAGCCATTCTAAATCCAAAATTGAGCGCTTCACATGGTGTCGAGTTACTGCAGACCGCAACTGTGTTTGAATGCATTTGTGAGCTCGCGGAAGACCCGTTCTTGAAATGTCCTTGACACAGTCTTCCACTTCTCGTCGACGAGGCGCGAAACGTCGCAGGGTAATGTCACAGCTGCCGCCCATCATGCAATCGACACAATAGTACGACCACCCACCTCAATATTGTCGATCCTGCTATTCTGTCACTGTTAGGCGAAATTGAAAACCACTTCCCCGCATATAGCGTTCTTTAAGGCAGTACTGTAGCATCTGACCTGCGGCTGCTGGCCCGGATTCGGCGGGGGTGGGCGGGCAGCTGCGGGAGATGCCAACCTTCAGGGCTGTAGACCCGTGTCGGCAATCCCTACCTTGGAATTTGGCTCACGGGCAGTACCACAGCGCATGTGAAGCCTTCCAATGCACGCCGTCCCCATGCCGATACATGCGATTGCACACGCACCCTCTCGTCACACAAAGCATTCTCTGTTTCGTGTGTCTTCGGTGATAAGGCAACTGCAAAACATAGCATGGTAGTGTATCGCACACTGAAGCGTCAGAGAACTTTTGGTTCCCAACATTTCCCAAACTGGTGGAAACCCAACGGCGCCGACGTGTCCCAGTCGCCACCTCGCTGCCCGCATAGCGAGGCTGCGCAGCCAGCGCTTTGCCACCAGGGAGAACGAAGCACTGGGCACGATGACGATGCTGCGGGCTTTCCGAAGCTTCGAGCATTGACAGAACTACGACATACCAATCTTCAGTTTAAGCACCCGCTCATTCCGCAGCTTCTGGAGCAAGGCAGTGCTAGCAGTGATTGAGCACAAATCTTCGAGACTTGAGCACCAGATCTCTGCCTCAAAAATCCGGCAGCCGCAGAAGCGCTAACAATGCCCAGGACATCCTGCTTGCACAGTCTTGCACCCTAGCTGTAGCGAAGGACCAGAAAATGCCAGAACAAGTGAGTAATATCATAGTGATATCCATGTTCGGCTTCCTCTCTTTGTGATCAGGATTGAACATGACATGCGCGCATGCTTTCCGCACAGTGGCTCTCGCATGCCAACTGATGAGCTTGAGCGTGAAAGAGCTTTCCAACCCTATTGGAGATCGGGTGGCCAAGTTAAGCGGCCATCCGAGCCGTCGGACCTCGGCAAAGGAGTCGCCTTGCTCCGGGCCACTGGATCCTGAGGGAAGATGCCCTAGATACTAGAAGCAAGGGGCGGAGTCATCTGGAAGGACGTTTGACCTATGGTTGCATTTGGATGTAAGTTCGGCAGCATCTTCACATCCACCTACAGGCCCTTTCAAAACGACATGTTTGTGGGCTTACTTCTTACCCAAAAGATGTGCAGAAGAAGCAAAACGAACGAGTCCTCAACCTTACCGCCGCTCACATTGTCCCAAGGTTGACCTATATACGGACACCTAGAACAAGCCAAGACTCTCTCTAGCCTGAGCACCATCTCCGATTGAAGCTGCTCCTCAGACATCGCAGGACGCGACGGGGGAAAAAGGGCAGTCTCAGCACACCTGCGGATCACACTCGCCCCATGAGCAAAGCCTGATGCTGTCAACGTGCTGGCACGTTAACACTAACAGTCATCCTCCAATTCGCGTACCCCAATCACCTAGCCTGCATCTAATTAGCACCTTCGCTTTTGCCGTGAACCGGGTCCAAGCAACGAAGATGTGTGCTGCAGGTGGCGCGCCTGAGATGCATTTCCACTGCAACAGCCCGCAGCATCCGATGTACTCCAACTACGTAATTCTCCTTTCCACCTGCCTGCTTTCATCGAAATGCTGGGCAATGTGATGCACCCCTACTCGTAGGACTCCTTAACGCTCCGTAACAGGGCCAGGTTGCCCCAAGCTGCAAGAAGGAGGTCGTCGGTGGATACTGCGGCGCGATGCCGCAACAGCTGGCCGTGCAATGAACGGTGGGCCGGGCTCGGAAAGGCACTGAGGCGTTGAACTCCATTAACTCTTTATAGGTCTTTAGCTACTACAAGCGTATCGGATTTCAGTTTCCCCGATTTTGGCTGCGCAAATCACTTCAACATCCCCTGTCAGTCGTCGCAACCCGGCGGCACCTCCTCAGCTACGCTTAATTGGAACCGATCGTTTTTTGCACCAAGCCTCGGCTGCGGGGGCAGACTACATGCTAAATTCGAGGCGGTTGTTTGTGTTGACTCGATATTAGAGTTTTCTAACGTCGATTAACACTCACTCCTGTTTCGATTTGCTGTCTAGCGAAGGATTCCGTCACTGTGTCAGTGGACAGGATGGATGCCAGCTCAGATTACCCCCTGAATGCTGTGATAGGCTTGGGCCTCGGTGTGCAAAGGAGCTGTGGAGGATGCTGTTGCACTAAGGGCCTATTCCTGGCACATGCAACCACAACAACGTACCATCCAGAGAGCCCAACACCCCTCAGATCAAAAATATCCGCACGTACCCCAAGCATGTCAGGTATGACGTGTGCAATTGAGGTTCGGGGTATTTGGTTCTACCAGCACACTCTCCGGGTGCACGAATTGCCGAACAGGTGCATTGTGCAGGACCAAAGAAGCAATGGCAAGCCATCCACGGCGTTCCTCCGAAACGAAACCGACATGGTGGCTCACCAGCAATTACAGCTTTTTTGTCGCTAGTCGGTAGGTTTTTCAATGATCTTACAACTTGAAACTGTCTCCTTGGCAAAGCATCACCATCACTGTGATGCTGCTCCTCAGCCGCCTCCTCCTCCTCCCCCCCACCATTACCATCATCACCATTACCATGACAGTCACCATCATCCTTCGCTTTGGTCCTGCTTTTCTTGGGTACATTCCTCTACTCCGCTGTGAAACAGGTGCGAACCTTGTCAAGATCTGGTAGGGAACTGCGACACCTACTTGATGAAGTGTTGACCTCAGCACTGCCCTGAATTGCAAGCCGTGCCGAAATTGTAGTCTTCTAGGTTCGATGGTGCTAGACACCTGAATTGCGTAGTTCCACCGGGTGACCTTTCGGAACGACGGAGAAAGTCCGAATGTACGAGAACATGTGAAGGTCTCCCTCTCTACAACGCGGCCTCTTCTCTGAAAGTGTCAGCCTAAACGCTGTGAGCACCTGGAACACCAGAGCTAATAGCCAAGCCCACGCGGCAAATGTTGCTTCTGGGCAGAGAAGGCTTCTGCCAGGGCAGCGTGGATGACAGCCGGTTCGTTAACGCCAAGTCCTGCTTCGGAACGGATATGCGGCCACGAATAAATTCACCCGAGCTCCTAATCCACGGCTGGGGTGTCGCATTAGCTATTCCAGGGCGTTGTCAAGCTGTTGATAATAGTCGCACCGAAGCATGCAAAAGGTCTGCGTGCTGTCTGTCGAAGTTGTCTCGGTCACTAGGCACAGCAGCCACAGCGTGCCTCACCCGTGTGGTAGATTATAAGATTCGTCTCTGCAATATTCTGTTGGAGATGTCAAGCTACCCTTCCTGAAATGCTTAAAACTGTTTGCCAACCAGGTGGCGGGCCAACGCCCAACAAAAGGATGTCGGAGAACTGTGGGCCTTTGCTAAGGTGCTTGGCCGACGGCTTTGAACTTGGAACACCCAGCATCACCGTGGACATGTAACTTGCATGTCTGCATGTCGTCTATATGGCCAAGCACACCGCAATGCCAGAACGGCCATGCACAGCCTGCATGCGAAGTATGGTAACAAGCTCGTCCGATCTAAGGACGCCCAGGGTTGCGGGTGCAAACCAGGTTAAAGTGGAACTCCGAAACATGCATGCAAGAGTATCCAGTAATGCCGCCCCTGATGCTCCGTTCAGCTCGGAGTCGATAAGTACTGCCTTCCAGCACAGACCGCTCCTCAAAAAATGTTACACAACAAAGGTCAGGTCCTGTCCTCAGTGGGCAGGCCTGGGCATGCTGCGGAAAGCCCGCGCGATCGCATGCGTCGACAGCAGCTCCTCGTGGCATGGTGGGCCCTACTTAAAGTGCAGGAGCATGACAGTTCATGCAGTAGCTGTTCACGTATCTGAGTGCTGCCGGGACTCTGTACATGGCACCACTGGGCTTTGCAGCGGCACATAGCCTGAGCTTCAACATCCACAGCTGTCAGAGGGTCAGGTCTTCGGACGCCTGCCTTTGAAGGCCCCGATCCCTCCTCTTTGTGACGTGGTGCAAACTCAAGGGCAGCTGCCAGTGGCTTTGCTTGGCAGCTGCACTGATGGCCGCGCTGCAGCCTATGCAGGACTTGCATCTCGGGTCGTTTGCAAATCCAAAGTCCAAGACGCTACTACACAGTACACCTGGCCCCCAGCAGTCTGAATCGCTCCAGCGTAATTATCGCCAAGGAGCTCATTGAAGAGAGCTGCAAGCGGTACCTCGGCGACACCCGTCTGACCGGCCCACTTCGCCCTATATATGGGCAAAGCTAGAAGCCAGCACCACGTCATGGGCAATTGAGGGGCGCCTTCGAGCGTCGCTCATCACCAGGGCCTCCGCCCAGGCCGTGGCCCGGCCGCATGCCGCGCCCGCGGCTGTGAAGGAAAACCTGGGCCCAATGGTTCAAGCAGCATTCCAAGCAAGGGCCCGATGGCCGGGATCGTGAAACCTCGCTGCGACCAATGCATCCCCCCTACTGAACCACTGAACCCTGCATGCCCCGCCCCAATTCGAAGTGCGTAGGCGTAGGCATTGCCACGGAGCTGATCTGGTCGCACAGGGCCCATGGACTTCAGCATCACGAGAGCAGGCTCCCACTTAGAGCCCTGCGGGCGGACATGGGCGGACTGACCAGTCCGTTTTGGCAAGGCCCTCCGGTCTAGAGGCAATGCACAGACGGAATATGTCAACGACCGAAGGCGGTTAAGAGTTTGATTGTGAGGAACGCTCAACGGCAAAGCACAGCTTGACGTCGCTCCTGCAAGTTCTTGCCGCACCGCCATCTAAGCTCAACCAAGTTTATAGGGCAAGTTCTGAGCCAACCCGAAACCAGACTTGATTATTCGCTGTATGAAGCAGCAAAAATCAGCCTCATCGCAAGCGCAGATGGCGCTGTTGTGGCTGATTGCATCCGGCACAAGCGCTCCTCAAAGCAACTCCATAGTGCTCGATCAGCTCTGGCATATGATACAGCAAGACTAGAGTTACACGCACGTAGCTTGCCTGGTGGACATGCAGAATCATGCGGAACTCAGCTATGCGAGCAACAACTGCCAAATCGTGCAGAACAGTGCAACTACAAGGAAGGTTCTGCTTGACAAGCTCGAGTGTAGCAGCAGCGCTCTTCGCCACCTCGGTTGGACGGGCATCTCGGCCTCTGAGAACTCACTTCGCATGTAGAGCATTGGAAGTCTTTGGGTTGCAACCATCCCACAGCCCTGATGAGGCATCAGCTGCCCACAACGCTGGTACGCGGTGATGGCGGTGTTCTGCAGTACGAGATTCGCCCGCCTCGTCTCCACTGAGTAGGAAACACGAAAGAGTGGATTGCCCGACTTGGTCACTTGCCTCGTCCAACATTAGCCCTGTTCAAGCAGGTTTGACATAGATTTCTAAGCTGCGTGCAATCCGCCCATGCGCACGTGCCAAAGGAGGGACGCGACACGCGCCCAAGGTGGCTCCTGAGATCTCGCAAGCTGTGACATCTTCGGGTCCAGCTAGTGGATATAAGGTTGTTCTGTCCGGCGAGGCAAACTAGCCAACATAAGGGGCCTAATATCCGTCATGAGCAATTGGCTTTCTTTGCCGGTTCGTCGGTGCTGGGTTAAACCACAAGCATTTCGTGCCCTTGTCGACTCGATATAAACTCCGAAACGAGCATCTGTCTGAGCCTGGCAGGCGAGAGAACCTCAGAAGCAGGATCTAAGAGAAGCGTGGCAGCAGATCATGATGTGCATCTTGAGCTCTGGATACAGCACATGGAACCTTGCTGAACCCAGGAGCCGAAGGTCACCTCGTCCGGTGGTGTGTTGGTGAGCTGCATCTCGTGGAAAAGCTGCGATGCAAGCAACCTTTTTGCAAGACCCTCCCAGGAAGGGGCCTCCACCCCGAACTCCAGAACCCAACTGCTGCGCTCGCGAAGCCATGTAAAACAAACGCTCAAGACGTAGCCGACAAGCCTGCGTGTAGTTTCTTGGGATGAGTGAAGATACATAAGGTTCCCAATTATTGTTTGAGGTGACAAAGCGACTCGGTTTTTCCAACAAGGTCTCACAGCTTGCGGCTCTTAGCCTGCCAATCTTGCGAAGAGCACAGCCTGAACCAAGAAGCCAGGACTGGCCGGTGGAACATGCTCGAAGTGCGGCGGTGCACATTACGGAGTTCGACTCCTTAGTTGAAGAACAGATGGGCCGGAACTTCCATCTCACGTGGGCTCGCAATGGCTTGCAGACGATTTCCAAGCTCTCCTGTGCCTGTGAGAATCTGCTTGGGTTGTCTCAATGTTTTGCACAACTCAATCAAAACTAGTGTACGTTCCACTGTGCCAATCTGCAGCTCTGGCGCAAGTGATCGCTCAGCGAGATATCTGCGCGGGCCGATGGACGAGGGGGGTTGACATGAGGCAAGCATAATGAATAGCAGAAGCGTCCGAAGTAATTAAGTTACAGTACCCGACATATCACGACAGATCGACGAGGGGAGTTGACATGAGGCAAGCATAATGAATAGCAGAAGCGTTCGAAGTAATTAAGTTACAGCACCCGACATATCACGACATGCCAGGGCCGTATCAGCCATGTCTCTATTTTCACCCTCTTTCCTACATACGTGCATGAAAGCATTCATCCATCCATCCGTCCGTCCGTCCATCCAGCCATCCATCCATTGCTACAGCAGCATACCATACCATGACCATACCTGAGCCTGAGAACAAGCATAAGCATCAGCATACCCAGACATAGTACAGTACATAGACATAAAACATGAGTTGGCGCGTGCAACAAGATGTGCGATAAGAAAGGGACATGCTATGGTGGCGCTTTCTTGTATTATACAATAACATATCCTGCTTCTTGCCACGATGCGAACTGGCAACAGACAGTTGGGAAAATTGAATGTTAGATCGGTAGCTCGAGAGAGAAACGGATATGAGCGCCTTAGCAGGTGCATGGCATGAGGCCAGGGGCCGGAACGGCCGACCGCAGCAAGGGCCGCGCCGCAGCACTTCCTCGACGCTTCCACGCTTGGTAGGTTCAGCAACCCACACCAGGCCGGGTGGGCTAAGCCAAAAAAGGCATAAGATGCCTCTTACCTGGATGCTGTTGAAAAACTGGGACCAGTCTCAGGACAGAAGAACCCAAAGCATCTCAGCTGAACTGTCAAGTCAAGAACACCAGAAGCATTGAAACCCACAGCTAGTCTCGGCCACCATCTTTCGTTTGCGATTATCCGTAGATGGCGGGTAGGGAGGGGCCGTTCAAACTGAAAGCTCGCATGTTGAAGCAGCAACGTGCAGGCACGGGAGAAGAGACTGCGATTACCGGGTTTGGGGTCGGCGACACGGGGTGCAAGTCTTGTGCCCATTCTTGGCGAGGCTTCTGCCAAGGTGCATTTCCGGCACAATCTCCTGGCAAAGCTCCAGAATCTCGGGCAGCTTCGGCTCTTGGACCAAGGATCATGCAGCACTGGATTTGGGGTTACAAACCGTGGCCTTCCGTGATGGCACCTTGTCTGCGTAGGCAAAAAATCATGTCCTGCATGCGCAGGGATTCAAGCAGCTCCAGCTGCAGGGACCAGGAACCCACTTTCGAAGCCGCCTGGCATCGCTGTTGAACTCACATTCTGGGAGGGACATGCTCAAGCTACCACTGGACTCCCGCGGGATCTGCAAAACACCCCGAGCCCTCCGTACAAGATTTCAGCAGGCTGCCTGTGCTGCGGAAGAAGGGCTTGCCACATCCTCGGTCTTGGCTTTGACAACTGTGATGTGCGGGTGTGCGCACGTCATTGTCAACTTTTCTGACCTGCACTCTATCATAATCATGCAGAGCATAAAATCCCGATCCGGGACCAACTCCCGCTAATGCCTACAGCAAGACGATCGGATTCGACAAACTTCAGCATTCTCATATCCACCCGGAGTCCAGAGAGTAACACCTTCAAGCTTCAAACATCTTCCATTGCAGGCAGTTCCTGCCCAGGCTCGGGCCGAGGCCGCGCCTTCTGAGCCTCTAAAGCGAGCTGCGGCCCCTTTGCCTGGCGTGTGAGGCGCTCGATCGGAAACCCCGACATATGCAGAAATGCACTGCTGAGACATGGGCAGAAGTAGTGGTAGCCGTCGTCATCGCAGAAGAAGCGGTGGTGGTAGTAGTAGTAGT